AGAACAATACCAGTACTCTCATTTACAACAAACACCAGAGTCTTGCCTTGATAGATACTAATGGTTTGCATTCATACAATTAAATCACATCTTGCTAGGACGCCTACCAAACAATGAATGTCGTCCTTCAGCTATTGTCTCCCCCGTTGCTTTGTTTTTCATAAGAACGATCGTTCCAGAATAACCTCCTCTTTGCCCTAAAACCCTTGCAGTAATCTCTAACTCCTCCTGTAATAGGCAAACCATGAATCAATATCATTCCAAAAAAGAATACCATGTTTCCGTTTCTAGACCCAAATGCACTATGACAGGACCCTGCAACTAAGTGCATACAAAGAAAACGAAGCAAATTCAATCAATGTAATCAATCTAAAGAACACTGGATACAATCGCTGGTAGCAGAGCTAATAAATCAAAATTCAGCTTGAGAACAACAAACATGACACCAATTAAATTTACGAAAAATACTATATAAGCGAGATGAAGCTCCCTTACATTCACTTTAGCAGTAGAAAGAAACGAGATTGACATGTCAACCGAAACATTCATGGGAAGACCATCCACCTGGACCACAGCTCCACCAAGTTCATCAACAAGGTTCGCAATCGCACCATTAGCCAAACTGCCATTCTTATCCTGCCACAATTATATCTGAAATTAAACATTTCTACAATTAATTATATGAAATTACCAATTTTTCTTTTTTTTGGGGTTTTAGTTAAGGTAGCTTACGGTGAAGCGAGGAGGGATCTTAAAAGTACAGGAGACGAACCCGGGCTCGACTCGGTCTACTTGGATGCCTCTCAAAGTAAAACGTTCGTAGAAGCTACAGTCGAGTCCGACTCGGTGCGGGTGGATGGTGAGTCGTGACACGCTTTCCGATTCTTCTTTGCTCAGTTCCAAATACTCTCTGGCTTTCTCCATTTTTGACCTTCCTTACTCCGTCGTACCAATCTGATGAATCAATCTTCGTTATAATTTTTCAAGGGAGGAATCATACAGTGTTTTATTATGACGGAAGTAACAAATGTTTTAAACAATCAAGACCGTTGATCTGTGTTCTAACTTACACATGGGTCCGCTTACTTATGATAGAACCGTCGGCCATGCCCCACGATTTGGTTTGTAGGTAGGTCCCATAAATATTACACCAAACGACAATGTGTCACAAAGGGATCGGCGTCCTGTATCAATAAAAGTATGAGTAACGTTATAGTCACCGGAAGTTGTACACTAAATTTATACATCGAATGACATGATAAAATCCTGATCATCGATTAATATTAATTCATAATTAATCAATTGTCAGGATTTTACCACGTCATTTGGTGCATAAATTTGATATATAACTTTCTGTATTATTTCCCTAAAAGTATAATGTCAATCTTGTCGATATATGGCCGAACAACATCTTTTCATCCGGGGTTTGCCCTACCAACAATTTAAAACGACAATCACCCACCAACTGTTGATATCGGTTAGATAGTTTCCCACCCACCATTTAAATCTGTTACTGAAAATCGGTTAATTAATCTTTGATAGTGTTAATGTAAAGATTTATACCAATCAGAGCTACATAATTAACAATGTTGGAATCGTAAGATGTGTGCGTGATCTCAATGGATCAGCAATAGGACGATGAAAGTGCAAGAATTAATCTAGAACACAAAGAACAAAAATAAAGACTTTTCAAAGTGGTTCGACTACAATGGTTAGGTCCACTGTTATGTTACTGAATTTGTTGAAACAGTAATTCGATTTACAAAGAGTTTGTAATTGGTTTTCTACGACTTATTTTCTCTCGAAACAGATTACAACTGGGTTTATGTAGTGTTAGTTGCCGACTCAAATCTAATAAAACATAGAGTTGCATGATCTTCCACCTTGATTATGAGATCCATATCACGAGATATCTACATGCCAAATAAAGATTTTATTCGCTCCAGATTTTCCACACAACAAATAATCACTATAAAAACGAAGGGTGCGTTTGGTTCAATATTTCTACCTATATTCCCAATCCTATTCTCCAAATATTGTTTGGCACATTATTTCATAAATATTACTATATTTTTTTAATTACTTTTAGACCCCTTCAGTTTATTAATTTTATTAAATATCCCCTAAAAAAGTTTAAAAATTAACAAAAACACCCCCATCAACCCATACTTGCCAGATTCCGGCAACCACCCTCGGTGGTAGCCAAAATCTGTACAACGACCTATACCACGACGGCCACTGGCCGGTAGTTCACCGATCTGACCGTCGTTGACTGAAAACGACGGCCATATTTTTTGCAGTCGTTTTGGCCTTTTTCGACCGTCAACGGCCACAACAAGCCGTAGATCTGGTCGGAAAAGGCCATAACGATGCGTTACGACACAGATCCGATCGTAACGTAATTTTCTGGCCAGATTCCGACGGTGGTGGCCGGAATCTGGCACTGTGGATAATGGAGGTGTTTTTGTCATTTTATATGTTGGGGTGTTGTAATTAAATTAGTAAACATATGGGTTTTTTTATAAATTTTTAAATTTTACTTCGTAATACTTCCTTATTCAACTACCCAATATTATTCTCAAAATCATATTCAAAATAATAAACTAAACACACCCAAAAATATCATTTACTCACTATTTAAATCTAGATCCCAGATCTCATTCGAAATGAACCACACTTTTAACCATTTCAACGAAAAAATATATGTCGAGTAAGCTTAATTTCACATATAGTGATAATATATGTCGAAGTTAAAAGAATGAAATATTGATTTTATTTTATAGGAAAATAATTTAAGTAGGAAATAATAATAAAGAATCTTAAAGAAGGCTCATAATTCAAAAACAAGGCCTCGTGTTTCAAAGTAAACTTTCTAGGAATGGGTTATTTAAAGGCAAATGTTGTGTCCTTAGTGGAGTTGACTTGAACTTTTTTGGACACACTTAAGGAGCAAATTGTATCCGGTGCATCTTTGGCCTCCTCCATTAACATTCACATTTCCTATGTGTACCCAATACCAATACGATGCGTGCACTCCATTTCCTTTTATTTTACTATTTGATTTTGTAAAAAATAATAGCGGGTGTATTTAGTTTATTATTTTGGATAGGATTTTAGAAATAACATTAGGTAGCTGGATAGGGGAGTATTACGAGGTAAAATTTAAAAATTTATGAAAAAACCCCAGGTTTGTTGATTTAATTAAATACCCTAATATATAAAATGACAGAAACACCCTCACCACCTGCAATGCCAGATTCTAGCTACCACCATCGGAATCTGACAAGAAAATCACGTTACGACACAGACCGATTGGATATGTGTCGTAACACATCGTTATGGCCTTTTCCAGCCAGATCCACCATGGATCTGGTCGAAAAAGACCAGATCTACGGCTTGCTGTGGCCACAACGGCCGAAAAAGGCCAAAATGACGGCCATCTTTGGCCGTCGTTTTCGATCAACAACGGTTGTCGTTCACGGCCAGATCCGTGGTGGATCTGGCCAGAAAAGGCCAGATCGATGAACTTCCAGCCATTTCTGGTTGGCAGGTAGACCGTTGTATAGATTCTGGTTACCACCGATGGTGGTTGCTGGAATTTGGCAAGTATGGGTTACGGGGGTGTTTTTGCTAATTTTTAAACCTTTTTTTAGGGTGTATTTAATGAAATTAATAACTTTATGGGGTCTAAAAGTAATTAAAAAAATAGGATAATATTTATGGAATAATGTGTCAAACATTATTTGGAGAATAGGATTGAGAATATGGGCAGAAATAATAATCCAAACATGCCCGCATTGTTTAGAAAAATTAATAATCTTTTTATATACAATATAATCTTTCATGAATTTCTAAAATATCGAGAGGATAAGTGATTAAAAATATGACATAAATGTCGTAAAGTTGGTCGATTTTTAGAAATCAATCAAGATTAGCTTACAACTCAATCTCACAACTCTGACATGACAACTCGCAATTAGTCACCTCACAATTGGGCAAATAGGAGGATCAATTACGAATTGACCAATTATGAGCTGCCACGTTAGGGTTATGAAAGAAAGTTTGTGAGATTGAGTTGTAAATGTAATAGTGTCCTTTAAAAATTTAGAGAGGAAACGGTAGTCCATACCTACCCTTAGGTAGCTCAAATGGTAGGACGAGTGTTAAGATATATGATTAAAGCGCACGGTTTTAGATTCGAATTCTCCTGACTCTCAAGATTTAAGTGCAGGGCCGTGGTAATGTTTTATTACGTTAATCTCATTCGAAGATTTGTTGATGTATATATTTATAAACTCATCCAAATATTTTAATTAAAAAAAAAAAAAAGTAGTACATAAAACCTTTTATTTATTTATTTATGATCATTTCACTAACCCTTTTCAATTGTGCAATGTGATCATGAAATGCCAATTATTGCATGTTTCATTCTTTTTTAAGGTTAAATAATGACTTTTAACACGCTAAACACATCTCATTATCATGTTATTAGTTTCCTCTATTTCACAACAGAATTACATCACCAACTTTATCATTATTATTATAATATAATATAATTTAATAATAATAATAATAATTCACAATAATTAAAATTTATTTCGTCGTTAATGCATGGCTTGCACGTAATCTAACATCATATTTTTATTCAAGATTTTACAAGTCTTTTATAATAATTAAAACTATAGAATAAAAAAGAATTCATATGTTTATAATATTTTAAATGTTACGCTGTCCAAAATTCAATCTTCATCCGTAAATTTATAAATTGGAAACAACTGTAAAGATTTTTCACTTATTTTTATATTAAGAAACATTGATCTCAGAATAAAATCATTTATTTCAGAAAATTAATTGAATCAATAAATCACGTGTTATTTCTTTTTCATAATAAATCCAAGGAAAATAAATAATTAAATTAATTAATAATTACGTATTTAAGTAATTAATCTCCGTCCCAGGGAGAGGTTTAACCAGGGTTTTTTTTTTCTCATCCAGTTTCGTTTTCAAAGCCAAAAACGCTTTCATTTCTTCTCTTATCAACTCAACTCTCATTTCTCTTTAAAAATGAGATGAGAGCCCACCACTACTGACTACTCTTCACCACCAGTAGCCATGACTCTCCAGCCACAGCAAACTCACCACCGCTACTCCACGTGCCACCGCCACCCCACCACCAAGCCCATCACTGGCTTTTGCGCCACGTGTCTCTGCGAACGACTCTCCAGCATCGATTCCTCCGCCACCGCCACTCCCACCTCCTCTACAAGTCCTCGCCTCCGCCGTACCAAATCTTACTCCTCCTCCGACCCAAATGCAGCCTCCGCCTTCGGCTCAGCCTCCGAGCCCCGCCGCAAATCCTGCGACGTTGGGCCCCGCAATACACTCTTCAACCTCTTCCATGTAGACGACCAATTTAAAAACAAGAAAATCTACGGCCCCACGAGCGTGGGACCCGCGTTAAAAGAAGAAGAAGAAGGGGAAGAGATTAAAGTTTGTGATGCGTTGAGTGAAGATGAAAATGAAGGCGAGCTCAAGTCAATGAAGGAGTTCATAGATCTCGAGCTTGAACGCAAGAAGAGTCACGTGAGTGGTTTTTGGGAGACGGCTTCAGTTTTTAGTAAGAAGTTACTAAAATGGAAGCAGAAACAACTGCAACGAAAGAACAAGAAACAGAGCACTGAAGAAGACAATAATAATAATAATAAGGGCACTGAGAGGCCAACAGCAGAGACAGAAACTCAGTCCGAAATTGGGTTGTACGGATATTTCGGAAGAAGATCTTGCGACACTGATCCGAGATTATCGGTTGATAATAATGTGAGGTACTCGTTTGAGGAGCCCAGAGCCTCTTGGGATGGTTATTTGATAGGCAAAGCTTATCCGAGATTAATAACGCCAATGGCGGTTGTTGAGGAGAAGGGTAGTTCGGGGAACGAGGGAGATAAGGATAGTCCGGGTGGATCTGAGCAGACTAGAGATTATTATGGAGAGTCTTTGAATATACATAGGCGAAGGAGGAGTTTTGATAGATGTAATTCGGGTAAAAGAACGAGCTTTGTTGATGTTGATGAGGTTAAATCAATATCAAATGCCAAGGTGTCTCCTGAAACTGTTGGTTTGTTTCACGGGGCCAAGTTGTTGGTTACTGAGAAAGAGTTGAGGGATTCCAATTGGTATTCGATTAAAGATTACCGGGCAGAGTGTGTTGAATCTGATTCGAAGAATGTTGGTTATGTAGATGGAGGGGTTGGTCAAAAGGGGTTTAATTTTAAGAACTCGTTGAGGCGGCGCAATGTGTGGAATATGTGGGGTTTAATACAGAAGAGAAGTGAAAGTAAATGTGGAGATGAAGGGAATGTGCATCGTGTGGTTGATGGAGCATTAGCTGAGTCATGGCAAAAGATTAAAAGAGTCGCGAATGGAGAACCAAATGGGACTGTTAGTGAGAAGCTTATTCGGAGTTATAGTGTTAGTGCTAGGAACTCTTTGACAGTGGATGGTGTTGAAGCTAAAGATAATGGTGGGAGGAGAAGAGATGAAATTCTGCTGCAGAGGAACCGAAGTAGTGCGTTTTCTCCTAACAACCTTGATAATGGCTTATTAAGGTTCTACTTGACACCAGTGAGGAGTTACAGGAGAAGCAAATCTGGAAGAAATAGGGTAAAGAATTCGCAATCTATGACTATGAATGGCTTGTAAAGGTGCATCAGTTGTTCTTCAATGGAATATTTTGTTGTTGTAAAGATATGCGTCTGCGTATTTCTCTTTGTTCTATAGATAAAAAAGCACATCATATTATCTCCCTTTTTGTGTTTAACATGTTCCTTAATAAGTAATGACAATGCAGTTCAAATTTCCTGGTATTTGTTGATTTTTTTTTATTTATTTATTTATTTTTAGCTCTTTCGCCATGAAGCTTAGCAAATGTAAAAACGAGATCAATTGGTTCATTCACATACAAAATCGTTCACTGGGTAGTCATATAATAGGCAGCTGAAGTTTTCTGGGTCTTGTTATACATTAGGTTTAGCTTTGAATGTTTTTGAATTCCGAAATCAGCAGTAGGTTATGATCTTTTGAACTAATTGTAGGATGCAAACTGTTATCTGCCAGTATTAGTAGTGGTAGTGCAGGCTGGCCTTACTCAACATGACAACAGAACTAGAGTTCCAGAATGTGACTGTCTTTGTAAGAGTTTCATAAAGAATCTGCTCGATTTATTGATGATTGGAGATAAGAGATAATTTGTATGTCTCAGCTCTTTGTTTTCACAAGTTGCAGAATCTGTACCAAGCAATCCTCATTTGTTTCTACACCAACCAATTAAAGCTGATATATATTGTATGAAGCACTATATTAACAGTGTGTCTGTAATCTCTTTTCTGGTGGAACTTGAAGGAAGTGCACCTTGCTGTGTATTCCTTCCGGCTTATCCTTCATTCTGTGGGCTGATCAGTTGCTTTTGGGACTTCTGATTAGTCCTCAATGGACAGAAAAGTTTGGACTGCGCCAGAATTAAACAATGTAATGCCAGTAGAGCGATTCAGCTCAGTTTTAAGAATTAGATTTTGCAATGGTAATCAGCTTCATGCTTATGCAAAGTGTGTTTTGGTTTGTAATCATACTTTTAGGTCCCCCCAGGCCCCAATTCATCATGATACCAATGTCTGAAGGGCCACCAACATACCATTAAAGCTTCTTCCAAGGCAGGTAATTTTCAACAATTAACTCTTGCCGTGCCCTTTTCAGGCTATTTACAGCATTGCAGAAACAAGGCTGCAGGGAGTAGAATTATATGGGAATTATTGGAATAATTGAATTGCGACATTACTTTAAACGTTTAACTTCCTGTGTAATAATGGCGACGGCACGAGGGTTCTCGGCTGCTGCCTTTATTATTCTGGACTCTTGATAATTTCAGCAAGAGCCTGCCACGGTTACTCCACTTTATTACTGGTTAACGTTTACTTTTAGCTGTTATGAGGAGGCTCTCTGTAAGATCTGGCATTGGATCCTTTAATATGTCCAGGGACAATTTGCCAATAATTGCTTGTCCGCTGAATTATTTTATTTCTTGTCTTAAACAATTCAATTGAAATTTCTGCTTAGGATCCCATAGCTCTGCAAACTACTGCTCCCTGAAGTGGCATCTTTTTCTCTACCCTTAATAAATTTTGTTGCCTGTGCTGCTTGATTCCTTAATTAATGGTTATATATAGAGAAGCGGTTGTGACTTCAGTTTCCTTCAGTTGCTATAATAGAAAACCATATCCAATTTCAAGGAATCAAGTCGGCAAATAAAAAGCACTCAAGTTTTGGATATGGTTCATTATATATATATACCCGCTGCAGATCTTATATTCAAATCTACAGTGCCAGAATTAGAGTTAGTTATTATCTGAAAGTAATTAACTAGAATCTAGTTATTGATCCGCATGACGGCCGGATGTATCCATACCAGTTTACACGAATTTCAACTAATCTTTCGGGACTATGGAACTATAGGTCGGATAAGAACTCCGGTCGTCACCCTATTAGCATTAATCCACATACTTTTATAATGCAGATCAATGTTCCGAAAATCGGACTAGACTATGACCCGTTCAAGGGTCCGGTTTTTGGTTTGATCGGTTGGATCGGTCTGTTGGACCGTATTCTATAAAAAAATTTTAGTCCCTAAATGTTTGAAATTCATCAAAAACACCCCTATAATACTCCCTTAAGGTTTGAAATCTGTCTAAAACACCCCTGTTGCGCAAAGAGACTGGTGAGTGGTGGCGACAGCGACGATCGACGGCTAATCGAAGTTGGAATCATGGGGCTTTTGATGTATAGGTTTCGACGAATCTGATGGTAGTGTTAGGGAGTTCCATCGGCGTCGAAAATTCTCGGAATTAAGAACGAAGTCTGACGGTCACATGAACTTTAGATGGACGGCGAACGACGAAGGCTTCTGAAAATGGATGGGTTTTGTCATGGAGATGTCGTCAAGTCGAATGGGGGTGTTTTCTCCGTCAAACGATGCTGGAATCCAGCAGGATTGAGTTACGATTGGACCGCGACTCGACACTATTCCGCCCGTCCAACTGCGGCTCAATCCGATTTAACTAAAAATGCCGGTTTTTAAAAGATACCAGACCGGAGATACCGTCGGCTCCCGGTCGAATCGGTCCGACCAGACGGTCCGATTCGGTTTTCAGAACATTGATGTAGATAATAACATCCACACTAGAAAATGATTATTTAGTTTAATATTATAAACCGTTCATAATTGTTGATCTAACAATGTTAAAAAATATTTGGAAGAAAGAGTAAGCTAAACCACCCAGGAATGTTTGTACTGCAACAAGAAGTTCTTAATTCTCTTTTGTATTGTTCATTATAAACCAGCGGTTGATACAGAATTATCAGCTCAAAAACCTCAAAAATCTAAAATCAAACATTTCAGGGCATTCAAATCATGGGATAAAAAACACTCATTCAACATCATATCCCTGCTCTTGAAGCTCTTGAATGACCTCATTCCTCATCCTGAGCCACAATTTTTGAGTTTCTTGATTAAACTTTTGGTCCTGCAACATCTTTTGATAGTTATTCACTTCCCTCTCAGATTCAATGTTTCCTTTTGGTCCAAAAACAGACCCAATCATGCCACCCTTTCTTATAAACTCCTCCATCGCTTCTGTGTCACCTGGGTACGGAAACTGCAGCCTCTCGTAGAGATGGGCTAACTCTTTCTCTTCCTTTGGTCTAGGCTTAAGCGTCCACCAACCCAGTGGTGAAGTCTCGTTGAAGACCCACGCAACACCAAATAGCGTGTAGGTGCACAGTAGAGCCTTGCCAACTTGCTTCCAGAAGTGATAGTCTTCTCTACCTAAGCCTATTTTCTTCAAATACTTGTTGGCATCGAATGACTTCAGCAATTCAAAACCTGAAAAGTTTCACAGTTTTTGATTCAGACATTTTATCGAACAGTTAGGAGGCCACTTCCTAAAATAAACCAATGCGTAGAAATAATCAAGTATAGGACATTTTCAAGATTGTTGCGTTCTGGGTTTTACCTGTTTTGGCTTGTTGAAATCCCTTGCGAACCATTTTGTATGGAGATGAAATTTGTTGATCAAATTTGTGGTACGATGGCTTGATAAGACGACTATGGCCAAATTCAGCGCAGAGGCTTTAGAGTTTCTAAAATGTAATGTGACAGGTAATTGATGAAGATCTGGGCCGCTATCTTGGCAGTTTTGGGCCGATGACCCTTTACTTTAATAAAATTTAAATAAATAGAAGAAAAATAAAAAAATTTACTTGGTAAAAAAAATAAAAATAAATTAACATTCAATCCCCACTTATATATAATTGAGATTGTGCATATAAATTATGAATTAAATAAATACTTTTAGTGTTTATGATCTTGAAATAAATAGAATTTAAAAAAATTAATTTTGGACTCAAACAACCCTTGGGTGGCTGGGTGAGACGATAAAGACTCTTGAATGTATTATTCAAGAGATCAATTCTCCTCGATTGCTAATAGGGTGGTCATTAGAGGATTTCTCCCGTCGTTAACTTCAGAGTCTCAGAGAAGTAGTGAAGACTTGTACAAGCTGGGATATAAATGATCAACGCAGAGTTCCCACTGGCCTTTTATATGTATACCACTTTGCAACCAAGAGAAAAGCACCTAAATTTAGCACACTCAGCATTGCCAATAGCCAGAAGAAGTAATCGAGGTGGCCATAGTTCAGATTATCTGGTATCCATCCAAGCTTTCCATTTCTGGTACTTATACGGGTCACAATTGTTACAAGCAAAGAGCTCAAGTAGTTCCCTAATGCATTAGTTGTCAGAGAGAGTGCTGAGCTCAGGCTTCTCATGGCGTCTGGCGCTTGTTCATAGAAGAACTCCAGTTGTCCAATGAATGTGAACACTTCTGCACATCCTATAATGAAATACTGTGGAACTTGCCAAAATATTGAAATGGGAACTTCCTCAAGCTCGTAATAATTGTGTCTCCTCACAATTCCAAGTCTTACTATTTCTAATGTTGCTGCAGCTATCATGGCAAATATGGATATGAAGAGGCCAATGCCCATCCGCTGGAGCTGAGTTAGGCCATTTTTGTGACCGGTGACTTTTCTGGTAACTGGGACAATGATTCTGTCATATACTGGGACCCAAAAGATGACACTGAGGGTGTCAAAGATGGAGAGTGATGCTGGTGGGATCTTGAAGCTAGAGGAACCAACACGAGTATCCATAGATGCACCCTGCAATATAAATAAAGTTCCCATCTGATTATACACTGTGGAAAAGATGATTCCAGAGGCCCATATTGGGAGCAAACGTATAATAGCTTTTGTTTCTTCAACTTGAGTCACAGTGCAGAGATTCCATGGGTTGTTTGTGCACTTAGCATGATCAGATTGTGTCTCCACTGCTGCCTTATCGAAGAAACTGCAGATTACGAACAATAGAAGGGTGACTGAAACAAGGGCTAATAATTTGAATATAGAAAGAAGCATCATCAATGTTCCATTTGAACAAATTTCTAAGCTAATGCATACTGGAGAAAGGAGTAGTAAATATTAATTCTCTAATTTCTTGCTCACTGACTCTGATTTACTTTCAAGTAGGAAGTTGAGACACTAACCTAAGATCATTTGTGTGATCAAGCTTGCGGCTTCCTTTGATATTGGATTCTGCATTTGCAGTCTCATACAAGAGAGATTTGTCTGCTGGAACTATAACTTTGTACTTCCTAAATGATGCCACCACAACCTGACAGATGCGTGTGAGAGGGCTGCCTCCAGGTTTTTGGTTCCTGTAAAGCCGAGTACCTGAAAAGAAGCTCAGCACTGCTATTGCCATGGCCACTGCTGAGATACCGAAACCCCATCCGAAGCCCACATTATCTTGTATCCATACCAGCAAAGAAAAAGAAAGAAGAGCACCAATGTTGATCGAGAAATAGAACCAATTGAAGAAAGAACTCTTGCTTTTCTTCTCAGAATCGTCAGCATCATCAAATTGATCAGCTCCGTATGATGAGACACAAGGCTGAATCCCTCCAGCTCCTAGAGCTATCTGGTAAAGTGCTATGAAGCACACTGCGCTTTGTGTATCTGTTGCTTGACACTTATCTTTTGCATAACATGTTGGCTTGAGGCCAGAAACAGATGCTGATAGTGTCAACAGAGTCATTCCCTGTGTAGAAATGAAAATTTTAGCAAGTACACATTTAACAGAGTGAGAAGCATATTCTGAATTCCTCAAAGTAGTTATTAAGCATAGTTTTATTTTTTTTCTATTTTAAATATGGGTGTAAGCTACAAAAGATTTGTGTTCAATGTGAGTGAAACTTACAATCAAATAAATGCTTGAGAAACAGGCAATCGTCCAATATCTTCCTAGATAAGCATCAGCTAGAAAAGCTCCAATTAAAGGTGTAATGTAGCATGTTCCACCCCAATTTGAGACATTATTAGCAGCACTTGTATTATGCTGATTTAAACGATGCTTGAAATAAAGAACAAGGTTGGAGCTCATCCCATAGTATGCCAATCTTTCACAACACTCGGTTCCTGTTTGATTAATGCTAAAACTCATGAACATCTAAATTTTCATTTCAGATTCAGCAGTTTTTTACAAGATGTCTAAGTACAGGTACCTAGAATGTAGGGGCAGGCCTTCCAAGTTCCAGTTTCCTTCTTGTTGGACGGATTTCCATGGTAATCTACTGTCCCATCCTTCGTGTAAGTAGCATCCTTTTCCATAGCTATGCTTGCTTATACTCTTTGTTGAAATATACTCTAAAAACTGCAAAACTGAGCTACTAGTACACTACAAAAACAACTGTTACACCATTCACTTTACCCAAAATGGTAGAATGTCATAGAAGTTAGAAACCTGGCAAACAACATGGGCAGGTCTTTGAAGGGACTAAGATATTTCACTACCTTGAAATAGAAAAAACAATTACTAAAAAATAATTTTCAGAAAATTTTCAAAGGGAGTACAGTTCACAGTCAAATAACTAGAACTGATTGAGCAAGACTGGAAACCGTCTAACCTAATCCTTCACAAGTTTATGTGATGCATCCAGGAAGCAGTTTGTCTCAGAAGTCTGTAAAGAAAAGGAGCAAATCTTGCTCGAGTACTAATGGCACACACTAGATTCACCACGATTTAGTATTATCTTTTAAATCATAGCTTCACAGCCACAAATATATAACTCTACTGTAATCTTCAGTGTAGAAAAAGTAACAGTAGATGAGTTGCTTAAAAAGTCTGAATAGTAAGGCACATGCAGATAAGAACAATTATTTTTTGTAAATAAGCACAAGTCACATCCAAGGCAAACATAAAATTTCAACCTTGTTCTGAACTGGAGAATCTAAGGTTGGACCTTCTTGATATTGTGAGCTTGAGTTTTGCTTTAATATGTAGAAGACAGTTTTGCAAAGACAATATATACATATAAACAAGAGTGAATGTTAAAGAGAAAACTATATCAAGATCCAAATGAACAATTATCCTGCTAAACATGAATGCAGTTTTTGAAGAGAACATGAAATATATGTAGCGAGAAGATGTACAGGCAACTTCAAATGCTGCTTCTAAATTCGAATACCTTGAAACAAAAGGGGATTTAACCATATCTGTGAATGGGACAAACTTGTGTTCAGATAATGACCAAAGAGTTTGGCTGCTTTGCCGACAATATAATCTGTATAAAGACTGCGAATCCAATTGGTTATTATGTCACAACTCACAATATTGTATGATAAACTATGCTATCCATGAATGAATTGGGACTGGGGTTATGCATCTACCCAACATATGGGCCATATCATGACTGATTTCTGCTTGGACAAACTTGAATGATGTGATGATCCCTTTGGACCTTCTGCACAGGCTATCAAAAACAAATTTACAACCTTAAAAATGCTTTATCTGTTTGGCCCCAGAACGGTTTGCGTTTCAAAATTGAACATGCTTTCACCCATATTAAACAGATAGCTTTCTTAGAGCAGAAGTGTTTGAACAGACTGAACTTATTTACAATCAGCTGAACTGGCCTTCTAAGATTATTTACATTACTGGAATGGTATTAGATATTAAATAAATAATTTTAATGTTTATGATCTTGAACTAAATAGAAAAAGCAAGTAATTTTGGGCCAATTGCTATCCTTGTTTGACTACCTATTCATACTTGCTATTACAATTTTTAAGAACACACACATATTCATTCCCCTGAGGGACCTATATCTTTAACCCTTTACGAATTGCTGCTTCAATTACCAGAGTTAGAAGCTTAGATCTTTTTATCAACGCAGAGTTCCCACTGGCCTTTTATATGTTACCACTTTGCAACCAAGAGAAAGCACCTAATTAGCACACTCAGCACTGCCAATAGCCAGAAGAAGTAATCGAGGGTCCCATAGTTCAGATTATCTGGTATCCATCCAAGCTTTCCATTTCTGGTACTTATACGGGTCACAATTGTTACAAGCAAGAGCTCAAGTAGTTCCCTAATGCATTAGTTGTCAGAGAGAGTGCGGAGCTAGGCTTCTCATGGCGTCTGGCGCTTGTTCATAGAAGAACTCCAGTTGTCCAATGATGTGAACACTTCTGCACATCCTATATGAATACTGTGAACTTGCCAAAATATTGAAATGGAACTTCCTCAAGCTCGTAATAATTGTGCTCTCTCACAATTCCAAGTCTTACTATTTCTAATGTTGCTGCAGCTATCATGGCAAATATGGATATAAGAGGCCAATGCCCATCCCTGGAGCTGAGTTCCCATTTTTGTGACCGGTGATTTTCTGGTAACTGGGACAATGATTCTGTCATATACTGGGACCCAAAAAATGACACTGAGGGTGTCAAAGATGGAGTGATGCTGGGGGATCTTGAAGCTAGAGGAGCCAACACGAGTATCCATAGCTGCACCCTGCAAATAAGGTACCCCCATCTGATTATACACTGTTGAAATGATACCAGCCCATATTGGGAGCTCGTAGATAGCTTTAGCTCTTCAACTTGATTCACAGTGCAGAGTTTCCATGGGTTGTATGGCCCTTAGTATCATCAGTTGTGTTCCACTGTGCTGCCTTATCGAAGAAACTGCAGATTAAGAACAACAGAAGAGTTTTCTGATACAAGCCAACCATTTGCATATGGTTAAAAGCATCATAACTGTTCAATTTGAACAATTTGTAAGCAAATGCATACTGACTCTTTCAGGTAGAAGTTGTGATACTAACCGAAGATCTTGTGTGATCAAGCTTCGACTTCCTTGATATTGGATTCTGCATCTGCAGTCTCTACACAGAGACTTGTCTTCAGGAACTTTAACTGGTAGTTCCTAAATGATGCACCACACCCTGACAGATGCGTGTGAGAGGGCTGCCTCCAGGTTTTTGGTTCCTGTAAAGCCGAGTACCTGAAAAGAAGCTCAGCACTGCTATTGCCATGGCCACTGCTGGATTCCGAAACCCCATCCCCAGCCCACATTATCTGTATCCATACCAGCAAAAGCTAAGAGCACCAATGTTGATCGAGAATAGAACCAATTGAAGAAAGAACTCTTGCTCTTCTTCTCAGAATCGTCAGCATCATCAAATGATCAGCCCCATATGATGAGACACAAGGCTAATCCCTCCAGTGCCTAGAGCATCAGGTAAGTGTGAGAGCACACTGCGCTTTGTGTCTGTTGCTGACACTTCTCTTTTGTATAACAGTTGGCTTGAGGCCAGAAACAGATGCTGAGAGTGTCAACAGAGTCATTCCCTGTGTGAAAATGAACATTGTAGTATTTAGACATAGAACACAGTGAAAAGCATATTTGAGATCCCATTATAATATGAACACAGTTATAGCTTCACCAGTAAATACTTAATATGACGTAAACTAAAAATATTTGAGTTCAATGTGAGTGAAACTTACATTCATAATGCTTGAGAAACAGGCAATCGTCCAATATCTTCCAGATAACATCAGCTAAATGCTCCAATTAGCGGAGTAATGTAGCATGTCCACCCCAATTTGAGACATTATTGCAGCAGTTGTGTTATGCTGATTTAAACGATGCTTGAAATAAAGTACAAGGTTGGTGCTCATCCATAAGCCAATCTTTCACAACATCAGTTCCTGTTGATTAAGTTAAACTTATGAACATCTTAATTTTTATCAATTCAGAGTTTCTGTTACAAGATGACTAAGTACAGATACCTAGAATGTAGGGGCAGGCCTTCCAAGTTCCAGTTTTCTTCTTGTTGGCCGGATTTCCTTGTAGTCTACTGTCCCATCCTTCGTGTAAGTATCGTCTTTTCCATGGCTTTTAAAATAGTTATAATACTTGCTTACTTTCTATCTGGGATCTACTCTGAAACTGCAAAACTTGAGGATGCACTATTAGTACCCTACAGAAAGACAGTTAGTCCGTTCACTTTATCCAAAAAGATAAGAATGTCATAGAGTACTTGAACAGAAGCCTCCTAATGCGTTTTCTTACTGCTAACAATTTTCTGTTATGGATAAGACTGGAAAAATTGATAAGCAGTGATTATTTGCTCTAATTGAAGCAAACAGTTGCATAGTTTGCTTAACCGAAGGAAAAAAAACAAATTTCAGAAGAACTTTTTTCCTGCTACTGGGACTATAAGTCTGGACATCAGGAATCAGAACCAAGAAATTCAATCTAATGTGAAGCTGTAGGATATCAATACCAGTCAGAAGATGTAATTTGATGAACTAAATAGAATTTTGAAGGAATTTAAAGTTCCAGAAATAATACTTCCAAAGAGACCACCCACTCAAACACACAATAACTAATTGCGAAGACGAAATCATCTAACCTGATCCTTCAAAGTTTATGCGATGCATCCAGGAAGCTGTTTGTCCAGAAGTAAAGTTTGTAAAGGAAAGGAGCAGATCTTGCTCAAGTACTAATACACACACTACCGCCACCACAATTCATATATCATCAACGCATAGATTCACAGCCACAAAATGGACCAACAGTAATCTTCAATGTGGAAAAAAGTAACAAGAACAGGAAATGTGTTGCTTAAAGTTTGACTTATAATAGGGAAGAGAAAGGGATATGTGAATGGAATGCACCAGATCAACAATATTCTTTGTCAATAGCTACAAGTCACAATCCAGGGCAAGCAAACAACTTCAAGTTAGAGCTAAAAGTAAAAAAAAAAACTACATTTAGATGCATTCGAACAACTCTCCTACTAAATTGAATGCAGTTGTTGAAGAAAATAAACTATCTACACGGAAGGTGCAGGCAACTTCAAATGCTACTTCTAAATTCAAATACCTTGAAATAAAAGGGCTTTTTACCCATCTGTGAATTGAACCAGCTAGTGTTAGATACTGAGAGCAATAATCTAAGAGTTTGGCTGCTTCAGTTTTATGCTTAGCTCAAACAAGCTGCTTTATCCCCAATATATAATATTATATAAAGAGAGGAGAGAGAGAGAGAGATTGTGCTTCTACATGACGTTTGGACCATATCATACATGATGGACTGAGTTCGCATAAAGTAAGGAGAAAATGTTTTCTGCTACATTGTTTTGTTCATTAGACAAATCTGAATGATATCATCCCTTTGGAGTTCTGTATTGATCTCCCAGTTTCAAGATACAACGGTTTTGTCACATCTTATTCTAGTCTTGTTAATTACTTGTGGATTGCCTCACTAAGTATAGACGTTTTACCGATCTGGTATTGAAATTTAACCTTGTGTCTTTGCTCTGCTTATTGTTTTCCCGTAGTTTATATCAACACCTAACTTTCCTGGAGCAGAAGCCTGGACAAAATCAAATAATGCACCAAGTAGCATTTATTAACTCTTACATACCGACAAAATTCAGACGTCAAGACCCTTTTTAATATTGTTGATGATTGATTTTATCAATAACAATTTGCATATGTGAAGTAGTTTGGATATTCAAAACGAATATTATGTTTATTGTTTTTGTATATATGAGATTTTATAACCAGATCACGTAGAGTGAGTTGAGATATAATTAGAATATAATTTTTGCTATTAAAATCTTAAAAATGAGAGTAAAAATCCTCTATTTATAATAGAAATATTCAAAATAATGATTATAAGTCTACAAGTAAATAAGTATCGTACAATTTCTACCTTGTTTCTCATTACTGACTATACAAGAGATATCATTAAATCACGTGAGGCTTGAACAAATGTGCGACTCTTATTCATCCATAAACAAAACTTGAATCTACCAAGTTGATGACAACAATATTCTTTTTATCTTCAGACGACATGATAGCTCTTGAAAGACATAAAATCTTCCTGAACTTTGATTGATACTTACTGATGTAAGCTCACGTTAACCTTAATTTTTTTTAAGCACAACAAATATACTTTTTAATGCATAGTACTATATTCTGCTTTACCTGTGGCCTGTGGTAGATATTTAATTTAAGGTATTTGTCCTTAATGGAATCATAGACAAAACTTGAATCTATCAAGTTGATGACAACAATATTCTTTCTGTCTTCGGATGACATGACAGCACCTGGACGATATAAAGTCTTCTTGAACTCTGATTGACGCTTGCTGACGTAAGCTCGCTTCAACCCTAATTTTTTAGGCACAACAAATATAATTTTTAATGTATATTACTATATTCTGCTCTACCTGTGGTAGATATTTAATTTAAGGTATTTGTTCTTAATGGAATCATAAGTATGAAGAACTGTTATCATCAATATACACTGGGATAATGGATTTGCTTTAATTTTGAACATATACTTTATTACTGTTACATCATTTAAAGACTCCAAATTTAAAGAGATTGATTTCTTTGCAGCAGACTCTTTAAACAGACTTAAGTTATTTACAATCAGTTTTTCACTATGGAGTGGAACCGGATATACTATCAACGAAGAGTACCCACTGGCTTTTTATATGTATACCACTTTGACACAAATATAAAAACTCCCAGGTTTAACACACTCAGCACTGCCAAGAGCAAGAAGAAGTAATCAATGTGACCATGATTTAAGTTATCCGGTATCCATCCATACTTCCCACTGGTTGCTGTTATAGCAGTAACAATGGTTACAAGCAATGAGCTCAAGTAGTTCCCAAGCGCGACTGTGGTGAGTGAGAGAGCAGAGCATAAACTCCTCATAGCATCAGGAGCTTGTTCATAGAAAAATTCCAACTGCCCGATAAATGTGAAGACTTCTGCACACCCTATGAGGAAATATTGGGGAACTTGCCAGAAAATTGACAATGGCATTTCATCAAGTTCATAGTAGTTATGTCTTCTCACCATCCGAAGTCTTATGAACTCTAGAACTGCGGCTGACACCATCGCAAATATGGATATAAAGAGGCCAGTGCCCATTCTTTGCAGTTGAGTTAGGCCATTCTTGTGACCTGTGAATTTTCTTGCGACAGGCACAATGATTAGGTCATAGATTGGAACCCAAAAGATGACACTAAGAGTGTCAAAGATGGAAAGTGATGCAGGTGGGATCTCGAAGCTAGAATTCCCAATGTGTGTATTCATTTTATCACCTTGCAAAGTAAATAAATTGTTCATCTGACTGTAAACAGTAGCAAAGATAATACCAGTGGCCCATACAGGAAGCAATCTTATGATAGCTTTTAGCTCCTCAACTTGGGTCACTGTGCAGAGTCTCCATGGGCTTACTGAACCCTTAATGTGGTCTGATTGTGTCTCCACTGCTGCCTTGTCAAAGAAACTGAAATTCAAAACATGCAAAAAATGTTACTTTTGTTTGCTTCTTTTACGCAGGACTAGATTACTACTTGGTACATCTGAAAAAGCAAATGACACCAACAGGAAACCAGCATCTGCTTCTAGTCTATTCAAGTGTTTGATATATGTAATCAGTCCAGAAACAAACCTAAATCTTTGGTGTGATCGAGCTTGCGGCTTCCAGTGATACTGGACTCTGCATCAGTAGTCTCATATAAAAGAGACTTATCAGCTGGTACTTCAACTTGATATTTCCTTATGGATGCCACCACCACCTGACAGAGACGAGTGAGAGGGCTGCCTCCAGGTTTTTGGTTCCTGTACAATCGACTACCTGAAAAGAAAGTTATAACAGCAATTGCCATGGCTACTGCTGGAATTCCGAAACCCAATCCCCAACCCACATTATCTTGTATCCAGACAAGCAAGGAAGCAGCAACAAGAGCACCAATATTGATCGAAAAATAAAACCAGTTGAAGAAAGAGCCCTTGTGCTTCTTCTCAACCTCATCAGCATCATCAAACTGATCTGCTCCATAGGATGAGACACAAGGCTTAATCCCACCAGTGCCGAGTGCTATCATGTAGAGTGCCACATAGCATGCTGCCTTTTGTGCTTCTGTTGCATGGCAATTACCATATGTATCACATGTTGGCTTTAGGCCAGGTACTGATGCTGTCAATGTTAGGAATGTCATCCCCTGTGAAATCAAAACTTCCATTGTTTACTAATAACATAGATTAAAAAAAAGCTTGCTACTAAAGCTCAGGTTAAAACATTAGGAGAACTTATTTACTAAAAATAATTCTAAGACCCGATTAATTTGATTAAATATGCATCCAACAATATGAATCGATAGAGGCAAAACGTCATCGTTTCAAATCATATTTCTTGGAGTCATTTTAATTAGTTGAAACTAAATTCATTCAACTTAATGTCGAACAACCAGAAGAGTTTTAAGTATCTAAGCAGCAAGATGCTAGTGTCAGTTGAGTCAAACTTACAAAAACATAAATGATTGAGAAAATGGCAATTGTCCAAAATCTTCCGAGATATGCATCAGCTAGAAATGCCCCAATCAATGGTGTGATGTAGCATGTTCCACCCCAGTCCGAATTGGTTTTAGTAGCATTAGCACTGCTCAGTTTTAGACAATGCTTGAAGTACAGCACCAGATTAGTACCCATCCCATAGTAAGCCAATCTTTCAGCACACTCATTTCCTGTCAATCAAAAGCTAAAACTTGTTAGCATATTCTTTCCTCAACCAGATTCAGTATCATAAATATAAATAACGAGTACCTAAAATGAAGGGGCAGGCCTTCCAGGTTCCAGTTTCCTTCTTATTAGCTGGATTTCCCCTGAAATCTACGGTCCCATCCTTCGTAAAATTGTCATCTTCCACCTCCAATTTGCTTAAAGTTCCATCTTTTGGGTTAGAATCATCTTCCCCCATGGCTTCTCAGTGACTTGTGTGTTGGCTTGTTTATGTTTCTATTGAAAATTAGACTTCAACCCAATTATTTCCAGGTTCAAACAACTTAAATCAGCGATTAAGAACAACCATCTACTTCAAATTAAAGCTTAAGACAAATAATAACTTTTCCTCCTACAGTGGCTTGTGATGTGAGCATGGGAGCTGCATAATTTGCTAGTGAAACACTATAGAGAGTCAATGGGATTAGCCAACACTCAATACTAGATAGCGACAGGCTAGTAGCCACTGAAATGGACCCAACAATTGTTTAATCTTTTATGGTCTGATCTGTTAACAGGAAAATTATATAAAAATACAAATGAACGTGGGGTTGCTTGGCTAAAGTGTTGACTGGTTTACTACATAGGACATGGAAAAATGTGTAATAATGGAAAGAGAGTTTGTTTTGTCATCCGGTGCAAGTTATAGATACAGCACGCAGAGTTGAAGATTTGCAAACCAAGTGTAAAGTCAGTGCTCAGGTCAACCTTTTCGCTTTCCATAAAGAAGAAATAATTGTCCTATAAAAATTTGAAAGTCTGGTTTGTGGGCTGCTAATTTCAGTATCTCCCATTTTTATGTTTTACAAGTCTTACCATTATTTCTATGTACAATAATCATATTTAATTTTCAGATCAGCAACTTCACCATTGAATTTGAATAAGAAGATACTACTATACATGGTTTCAGATAGTTTGTCTCTTTTGTTCACTATTTGCCTGGTAAAGAGTATATTCTGTCAATCAGCACCTGGTGACCTATAATAAAAGAGCAAAAGGAATATCTATAAGCTCCTGAGTTCGAATTTCTCTAGATACTAATAGGGGTGGTCACTAGAATTCTTATCTGATTGATATATCCAAAGCCTTAGAGATTAGTTGTGAGATATGTGTAAGCTAATCCGGATACCTGGTGATTTAAAAAAAAACAAGTCTATATTCAATCACACTTTTTCTTATAAAACTGTAAAATTTATTGTTTCAAAACTGTTACGACAGAGCAGAATCTAAGAAAACACATATGAAAGATCATACTGATACTGCCTAGGCAAAGTTTAGCAGATTCACAGAAAGCAAGCAAGAAGAAAGCTGCAGAAATTTGGTTTTTAATAACACAAAAGAATATCACGAGTCAGATTAATAACTTCCCTAAAAGAAAGTACCCAAAAATAAATAAACAAAAAAATCTGTACTCATCATAATTCTAACCTTGTATTATAATTAAGTCCCCAGTGAACTGATGCAAGCCCCTCTGTTCTTTCCCTCCTTTGAGAATGAAAGACCCTTAACTCTGAGTTGTTTATTAAATACTAATAACAACCCGCCAGCTCAGTTTGAGCTGCTTCTTCAGCTATATATGATTTGTGACAAAGTCGACTCTAAAGTTCAAACTGATTGAATTTTGTTCTTATTATATGGGAAACACCGTTCTCACTCGTTTGTCAATTCAGATCTCCGTGACGTTGGGTGGTTACAGTGACCAATTTTGGACATAAAATAGTGTGAACGTCCGTACAAGAATACCATCAAATACCATTGTTTATATAGTCAAGATCTGTGGCAGTTTTTGAAGAAAAATTCTATGATAATGACAGGAAGAATCTACCGTCCCAATGGAGAAAATTAGCAATTGGAATCATATGATTTAAAGCTTTAATTAACTTGGTGATAAGCCAAGTGTGAACAAGAGAAAAGGCGAGCTTGAATCCTTCTCCAAAATGACAGGATATTTTTATAAGGAAAGGTACCTGTTCATTTGTTTTTTAAGTTTTGTACTGTTCGTATGGTTGCCATTGCCGGGCAATTGTCTGCTAGCCTTTGTCCCTTCTTCATCTTTCTCATTCAACTCAAGTTGTCCGTTCAAACTTCGATATTAACCTGAATATCAAAAGTTGTAAGGAGCATTTATCTCATTTTGCAAAGAGTGCAAGTTAGGTATGGGGTTCCTCTTTAGAATTCCCTAAACTTTCTCTCACTTTCTCATTAACCAAACAGCTACGACAAACAAATTCTTATAGAGTTTGACTGTAACACTGATTTTTAAACAACACAAACTCCGCCGATACATGCTAGTAATGCCGAGGCCTACTCTAAAATAGCTTTATAAAATATTTTCTTACTTTTTCTAATTTCAATATATCATCACAAATAAAAAATAAAAAATGGGTACAGTTTGTAATTCCAATGCCAATATATTTTTTTTTTTATTGATGTGTCAGGGCCAGTTTACGTATACTTCGACTAATCTCTTAATCCTGAACAAAGCTTCTAAAGAAGGGCAAACCTTACGATTTGTGACCAATAATAATAGCAACCATTCTTATGATTCGATCTTTGACCCAAGCCTTTACCACTCCACCATCCTATTGTTAGTAATGACAATTTCATCTTCCTAAGTCCTAATATATAATTTAAGCTTAAACTTTCAAAATAAAAAATATAAATATAAAATGTATTAGTATTATATGATAATTATAAATGTATTAGTTAATGAGAAATTTATAAATACAAAACTTATGTTTATTTTAATTTAAAATTGTATCATACTTTTAACTTTGACCCTCCTATATTTCATTTTTGACTACGTCCATGAACTCAAGTAGCTCCCGAGAGCATAAACAAACTCCTCATGGCATCCGGAGCTTGCTCATAGAAAAATTCCAACTGTCGGATAAATGTTAAAGACTTCTCCACACACCTTAAGAGGAAGAGTAATGCTACAGTTATCGAAAAAATATATTGAATTTATGCACCGAACAGACGTGGTACTATCCACTTTTTTAAAAACAAAATTCATAATTAATCAACGATCATGATGTTGTCACGTCTATCAATGCTTGAATTCGGTACCTTTTTTCAATGACTATCATTTTCCTATGAGGAAATATTGGGGAAGTTGCCAGAAAATTGGCAATGGCATTTCGTCAAGTTCATAGTGCCTTCTCACCTTCCGAAGTCTTATGAACCCAAAAATTGCGTGCACATCATCACAAATATAGTGCCCATCTGTTGGAGGCTTGCAGCTGAGTCAGGCCATTATTGTGACCTGTGAATTTTCTTGCGACAGGCACTGCTGTTAGGGCTATTTAAAAGCGGTTAACTGAACCGGTTTTATAGTTCAAGAAAATTTCTAAACCAAAACCGATCTTGTTTAGGGAGAAAACCAATTTTTCGGTTAACCGGTTTTCCTCTTTTTATTGGATAAAACTTGTTATTTTTTTTAAAATTAATTAAATTGTAAACATCAACAATACATATCCAAATAAAAATTAAACATTCATATATATTTATTGACCGCAACTAACAATATATTAACAATTGATACAAATAAAAGTCCGAAATTAAACAAAAATAAAAGTCCGTAATGAAACATCCATAATAAAACAACAAAATACCTAAGGCTTCATTTAGCTCACATTTGGGAATACTACTATTAGTATTCCCAATAAAGTTAAATAGTAAAATTGTAAAAACTCACAATATTATTCAATATTATTCAACTTTTTTTAAACCCCCTGAATTTATTAATTTAATTAAATACCCCTAAATATTTTTTTAGAAATTACAAAAAAACCCCAGCAACTCGTATTTACCAAATTTCGGCCACCACTGCCGGAAAATTGTCAGAATCTGGTATAATGGCGCACTACCGGCTAAATCTGGCCGATAGTGCACTGATTTAGCCTTTTCCGGCCAGATCCACTATGGATCTGACCGGAAAAAGCCAGATCTAAGGCCAAAGATCTGGTCGTTGATGGCTAGATCTTTGGCCGTAGTCAGCTGTCAACGACGACCAACACATGGTCGTCGTTGACCATCAACGACGGTCATATCTTTGGCCGTCGTTGACGAGCTAATACGGCCAAATCTGGTCGTCAATGGCCAGATATAGGTGTAGATATAGCCTTTTTTGGCCAGATCGGCACACGACCGACAAGATCTAGCCGATTATACGCCGATACAATGACTCCGGCCACCCTCCGGCAGTGATGGCCGACTGTCTATATTTAATGGGTGGGTTGGGGGTGTTTTTGTTAACTTTTAATATTTTATTATAGGGGTTTTTAGTAAATAAACAAACATAGGGGGTGTTTAGTAAATAAACAAATATAAAAGGTATTTTTATTTATTTTTAAATCCCACATCGTAATACCTGCCCAATTCAACTTTTTTTCAAAAACTTTTATAAAAAGTGTGAAAAAGTGAACCAAACGGAGCCTAAATAAGTCCCAATGAAATATAGCAAAAGAAATTGTACAAATTTAGGGGTTAAGATTATTATTATTATTATTTATTATATATTAGTAAACCGGTTCAAAAAACTGATTTCGGTCAACCAGTTTTTACGTAAATTGAAAACCGAACCTAAAATCTGGTTTTTTGAATTCTTTGAATCGTAACTGAACTGTTTTTTCGATTAACCAGTTTTTAAGTTCGGTTCCGTTTTTGTATTTTTTTTTAACACCCCTAACTATGGTTTGGTGATAGATTGGAACCCAAAAGGTGAGACTAATTGCGCATGATCAGGACGTACAAAGATTATTTCAACAAAATGGGTTATTATATTTTGTTTCATTCAGTAATCTTGTATTATTCAGGTAATATGAGAGGTGATATAGGAGGTTATGTAGTTACTAACTCAGAGTGTGACATTTTAAGATTACCGTGGTAATCCTGTTTTTGTTCTAATTTTATCTTTATTTAATAAAAACTCTTAACACAAATGCCCTCATTTTGATGTCAAATAACAATTTACCAAACTTGTTAAATTACTTCTTTAACCTCATTAATTAATTATTTAGGCATTTCAATAAAATAATATTTAAATATTTTGTAATTATTGTCAAACATAATAATAATTTATACCCATTAATTTTTAATATTATCTATCTTATTGATAATCCTTTTTGGGTAATAAAAGTGTCGAAGACGAAAAGTGATGCAGGTCTTTTTTATTTATAATTTTAAGTTAAATTTGTGGAAAATAAATAAATAAATATATTTAAAATGGGGGTTTTGGAAAACATGATTAGTGAAAAATAGGGAGAACGACTTATACATACCCAAGATTTATCGTAACGA